TTGTATTTATGTATTAGTTTAAAGGTTTTTATGCTATTATTTTAGCCTAATATCTATTAGGGAAATTGCCACCATTGCCACCACTTACATAAATACACACATCCAAAGATAAATTATACATAGGGGAGATGTCTGCTCTCAAGATTTCCAAGTAAGAGATATAGCAAATTATTTTTATATTTATTGGCTATATTTATATTGTTTTTCTTCTAGAAGCACAAAGTTCCAGACATTGGAATTCTCCAATTTTCCAACACTACCACAATATTGTAAGAGTGCAGACACATTATGATGGGTCCAATTATTCCAAGTAATCTTGCATTCATGAAAATAGACCTGAACCAACTTTGTTGTACTCCGAGCCAATGCTTTTGATCACTATACGAAAAATGTGAGGTTGGCAGTTGGTCCTTTAGTACAGATGGGTAAAAATGGAAAAGAGTGTGCTTTAATATCCCCATCCTACAACTCTGTTTTCCATACTCTTACTCTCTGTTCATTCTGTCCATCCTTGACATTTCTTGATATTTTCTGTTTTCATCACATATCAAAATGCCAACTACAATCTAATTGATTTTCCCTCCTTTCTATCTTTGCAGTTATTCCACCTTTATCATAAAGAAAACATGGAGAACCAAAGCACAGTGCCTTACTTTCTGCTGCTGCAATTCTCAAAAAATCGGAATCTGCAGATTTTGCATTTCTTCTTCTTCTTTGTGTTGTATCTTGCAACTGTAACAACAAATCTTCTCATCATCTCTGCAGTTGCTTTTGACCATCGACTGCATAGCCCCATGTACTTCTTTCTCATGAATTTAGCTCTGCAGGACATGGGCATTGTTTCAGTCATTGTCCCCAAATCAATGATAAATTCTCTTTTGGACACCAGACACATCTCTTACATTGGTTGTGTTGCTCAATACTTCCTGTTTATCTCCTTTGAAGCTTCTGACTTTTTCCTCCTGACAGTCATGGCATATGATCGGTATATAGCCATTTGCCACCCACTGCACTATGAGATGGTGATGAATTGGAAAGCCTGCACTGATATCATAATTCTAGTGTGGGTTACAGGTCTCCTCTATGGAATGTTGCATACTACTGGCACTTTTTCTGTCCTGTTTTGTTCTAATGTTGTTAATCAGTTTTTTTGTGAAATTCCACAACTGCTAAAATTATCCTGCTCTGGATTAAATCTACTTGAGGTTGGAATTCTTGTGTTTGGTATCATTGCTGGACTAGGTTGTTTTACTTTTATAATTGTATCTTACACAGTGATTTTCAAGGCAGTGTTAAGAATCCCTTTTGAAAAAGGAAGGCAAAAAGCCTTATCCACCTGTATTCCCCACCTCACAGTAGTGTCTATGCTAATATTAAGTGGATGCTTTGCCTATCTGAGACCTGCCTCTAACAGTCCATCTAACGTAGATTTTGGTTTGACTGTTTTGTATTCCCTCCTTCCTCCCCTGTTCAATCCAATCATCTATAGCATGAGAAATAAGAATATCAAATGTGTCCTTTCTCAACTGTGGAGGTTTTGATAAATTCTTTTAATGTTTTTTATATTCTCTTCCCCATAGTTTTTCCCTCTGTCTTTTCTTTTACTTTTGTGAATAAAAGAATGTGTTAGAAAGGGATTGTGGAGGGAATGCAGCAAATCCAGCGTCTCAAACCAGAAGAATCTAGCAGTCCATATTTTTTGGCCTACATCCCTGATTACTGTCAACAGATGTTAAATATGGATATTTGGCAGCTCTGGCATTTCACAGGCTGACAATTCCTGTTGTTCAGTGAAGTCAGTGGTGGGATTCAAATATGTGAACAACCGGTTCTCTTTGTGGATGCCGCTTCCATAAGTACATTCTGGGCCTGGGCAACAAAAAACTAGCTACTGGTTCTGTCGAAGTGGTGCAAACTGGCTGAATCCCACCACTGAGTGAAGTGAAGTAAGAGTGTAATACAATTGGTGGTGTGAGAAGTTTTATATCAAAATATATTTTATTCTTTAGGCTGTTTGTTTGATATCTGGGATTGGTAATTAGGCTGCAAACATTTTGTCTCTTTTCGGCAGGACATATTCAGTTTGAATTGTGTTTGGTTTGTTTGGAATGTTGCTTCCATTATTTCAGTTGAAGCAGCTCTCTTGCTCTCAGTGGTTGTTAGGCGGGGTCAATGTCAATGTGTCTGTTTACTGATTGATTGGTGGAGAACCAGGTCTTGAGGAATTCTCTTTCTTTCTTTGACTTTGCTTGGGGCAATAATTGTGGTCCAAGTTATATCAAACCTGTGTCCTTCTGAGTCCTCATGGACAGATATAAGGGACATTTGGTTGTGTCTTCTGATCGCCAGGGAGTGCTTGTACAGTCTGGTAGATAGCTTTTTTCCTGTTTGGCCTATATAGTTCTTTTCACAATTGTTGCACCAGACTTGCTTGATTATCACAAAGGTATCATCCACATAACGTACCCCTAGTTTAGAGTTTATTTGTAGGAGGATGATCTCTTTGATTTTTTGCATTATGATTTCTACGATCAGGCCAGATATGGGGGATCCCATAGGTGATCCTTTTAGTTGTACATAAAACTTACCGTCAAATTTGAAGTAGGTGAAATAGGTGAAGTTGGAGGACTTCGCATGTGTTGTCTATTGTAAGTGGTCCTTTTGGTGGATGTGTCCTGTCTAGAAGTTCTCTGATCAGGTCAACTGCTTGTTTCAGGTCTATTGATGCGAACAGTGCAGTAACATCAAATGATATCATAGTTTCATCCTCGTCGATGTAAAGGGGTTTGGGTTTGTCCAAGAATTGAGTGGTGGTGTTTATGAAGTATTGGGAATCGCTAATGAGATGTTTCAGGCATTTCCACATTTCTTTCATGAGGTTATAAGTGGGTGGGCCAGGCAGTGAAATGATTGGTCTGAGTGGGATGTTTTCTTTGTGCACTTTCGGGAGACCATTGAACTATGCTATGTTTGAATTGGTTGCTTTCATTCTTTCGTATTCCTCCTTGGTGACTCGGTTTAGTTTCTGTATTTTTTAAAAAATTCTGTTGATTTTGTTGGTCATTTCATCATTGGGTCTGTATTGGTGCATCTGTAGGTGTTAAAAAAGCTGAAATATAAAATATAAACATATATAAATATAAAACAGAAAGAGAGAGAGAGAGAGAGAGAGAGAGAGAGAGAGAGAGAGAGAGAGAGAGAAGAAAAGAGAGAAATATGATATGTCATTAAATATTAAATTATATCTTCCCTAACTGCATTTATTTTGATCTCCCATTTCTGCTATTTACTGGTGTAACATTTATTTTTATTATAAATGAAACATGGAAATATGAACCCAGAGATTTATTTTCTGCTCACTGGATTCTCAAAAGCTCAACAGCTATAGATTTTGCATTATATCTGGCAATTGCAACAGGAAATCTTCTCATATCTTCAATAACTTTGAATGATTAATTAACCCCATGAATTTCTTTCTGGTATATTTGGCTGTATGCAACCCAAGCTTTGTTTCAAGAATTTCTCAAGACTATAGCAATTTTTTTCATGGGCATGTGACACCTTTCTTACATTGGGTCTTACATCTCATTTTAAGTCTCCTTTAAAGCTCCTGGTTTCTTCCTCCTCTTTTGCCAGATGTCAGGGCAGTGATAAGGCGCACAGGCAATGGATTCTTCTGGATCCATAGACAATAAGTGCACAGTGAACAAAGAGATGTTAAGCTCTAACATTAATCCAAGCAAACTGATCTTAAAATATAAAATAAAAAGCATAAACACTAAAGAAGACAATGTCACATCTCTTGTAAGCTCATAGGTGCTACTTAATAATAACAACAGAGATACTCCAAGTGTGGCCATTTTTTGCATTACCCAATATAAGTAATCTTCAATACACAACCTCAAAATTTATGTTGCTAAGTGAGAAATTTGTTGAATTTTGCCCCATTTTATGACTTTTCTTGCCACATTTGTAAAGTGAATCATTGCAGTTTTTTAAATTAACAAGTAACATAGTTGTTAAGTGAATTTGTTTTCCCTAATGACTTTTCTTTTCAGAAGATTGTAAAAGCTGATCACATGATCCAGAAATCATACCTTCCATTTTACAATTGCATGATAAAAAGTATAAAAGAACATTTTGATTGGGTAAGAAAAAGTCATCTGTATTCAGATATTTCTGAATAAAAATAAAAGAAACATTTGCTAAGGAAAAACATGAGAATGGATATAATAAAGGTACAGCAACTTTCCCCAAGGCTGGGTTTGCTGAAAAAGAAACTGATTTATCTACACTGTATCAAGTACTTTTCTGCCAGGTTTCCAAAGGGAGGCTTTCTACTTTTTTTCCAGAAGGTTAAAACTTATGATAAATTTAAAAAGGCAAAATTAAAATATGAGAAAACCATGTTAGTTAGCCAATGCAGCAATACTACAAAATCCATATTGCAAGTATTACAACTCCATCCTTCATGGCCCTCTGTTCCCTATCTTATAGTAGTTTAACTATTGCTTAAATGGCTTGTTTGCATATCTGAGACCTCCCTCTAGCACTGCAATCTATTTAGTTTTAGCATTATCTATGTTATATTCCTGTCTTTCATCTCTTTTCAATTCATCTATAACATCTATATAAATAAAAATGTAAATGTTCGTTTGTTCAAAATCTTAAATCTCCGAAAGTTCTTCACCGATTGCTTTGAAATTTTGACACAACGTTGAATTTGAATATGCGTGTGATTTTATATACCTATATTATATAGACGTCACACCTGTGATGGGTAAAAACATGCTTTTTTGGAAAACAGCACCATCTGTTGGACATAAAAGCAACACACACTTTTACCAGACTGAGCCACAGCAACGCGTGGCTGGGTACAGCTAGTAAGAAATAAAAATAAGAATTACACACTACTTAAAATGCAGAGTTTTTAAAAGTTTCTTTCAATGAGACTTTATCTTTTCTACCAGAAATGGACTTTGTACATGCTGGCTTTAACCATGATTGGTAAACTAAAAACAAATGAAAGGTTCAGTCCAAAATACCAACAAGGAATAAATGAAGGTAGCACAGAGCCAGTAAGTATTAGGAAACTGAAACCCGCTTAAGGTCATCAAGACGTCTAGGAAACCATATCCACTCATTCAATGAAAGGAGACATGCAGTGCCAAGAAAGGCTATTTTCTAACATTTTCATATATAAATGGGAGATTTTAGTGTATATGTAACAGTAGCAGTGCTTGCATCATAATACTGCTTTACTGATGTTTCCAATGTAATCACTCTTGCCTATGGACCCTGCTGTTTTTATTTTCAGCTGCTGACTTGTCAGGAACAATAACCAGATCCAAACAGGAAGAGCTCAATCAGCTGTTTTGTTGGTCAAGCCTATACAAAGGAATCTTCTCAGACTGATGATTAGCACTTGAGTGAGAGTAAATAAGGTCCAACAGCATTGGGGGAAGAGGGAAAGCCAGATTTTGGAATTCCAGACCAATTCCCCATTTGACTCCCCCTGGCTCAGCCACACTCCCTGTGTAATTGGAACATAGGCACATTCAACTTTTCAATCCAGAAGAACTGTGGAACTCAAGAAGTTAATCAGCAAACATTATTTATCCCTGATTATTGTTGATGCAATTTAAAGATGCTAAATTTGGGTGATTGGCAGCATCTGGCTTGTCACAGAATATCCACTCTTGATTTCTGGTGAAGTGAGTAGCAGGATACATTGCAATTGTGGGTGGGAAATTGCAATTGTGAACTTCTTCAAACTATGTGGTCTATTTTTCCTTGAGCTTTCTGTATAAAATGTTTTCTCATACAATGCTTGCAGATCATGCAACTAGTTAAAGCTTCAGCTTTTCCAAGAGTTCTCTCTTTAAATGGTCGTTTGTGCACACACTTTGATATTTTGTTTCTTTTTGTCAGTCTTAGCACCTTGAAACTGCCTGGAAAATTCACTGCATTTTTTTGACAAGGTTTTTCAGAAGGGGTTTGACATTGCTTCCTTCCCAGGGCTGAGAATCACTCACTGTCCGGGTTTCAGTGGGTAGACCAAAGTAAGGATGTCGTCCTGATTTGTAGTCACAGAGGACTAAAGATCACACCACGGAATTCGTGGTGTGTTTTGTCCAAGAATGAATAAAATCAAGTTCACATAAGAAAAAAAGAGAATCTTCACGAAATCGTTTTAGTCCGTGAACCATCCCATCCGTCCTACCCAAATCGGTACTATCTACTGTAACTTTTTTATAACCATGGCAATATGAAAAAGCAAGAAGTCTATGTCATAATTGTAATAGAACATCATATAAGCTTACAGTAACCGTGCAACATGATGTAAATTGGAAGAGATAAGAAATACTCCATTGTCTAGTACCCGAAGGTACAAATCTAAATAGATGTGCATCAGAATGATATTTTATTAAAATTTACTGAAGATTTCATCCAAGCCGCTGATAGCACACTAAAAGCCTTGTCCAGGTTTTGTGGTTATGCCTTTTGTGTTATTTATGCCATCATCTGTCCAAATACATTTTAAAATACATTTTCATGTAAATGCACATTAAATTTATATTTAAATAAAGATAGGACAAATACTTCATGGATCAGTATAAGTATACTTTTGGAAGGTGCCATATGGATACTGAAATAATCTAGGCACTATGAATACGTTTTGTTGTGGGTGAGGGGTTTCACCTAAAAGAATATGACATTTTCTCCTATATTTATATTTCTGTATTTCCTTCTTGTACTCTTGCTTTATTTGTGGATATTTCTTGTCCACACTGTACTTCTGCAGTTATAGTTACTACTTTGCTATGTTTTACTCAATAAAGTCTATCAACATTTGCCTAATCTGTGTGGCTATTACTTTCTTATTCGTGAACATCATATATTGTATACAGCACATATCATTCAAGAGCCCTTCTAATGACCGCTCCATCTGGAGATGACCAGACAATGTCATTTTTGACATTGTTGCTGCATAGTTTTTCAACTGATTTCAGGCATCATGTTAAGACATGCTGTGTTTAAGCATGGTTTGTAAAATATGAAGAAGATAAAGTTTCAATCCAAAATGGGAACAAGAAAGAAATTAGTTTGACCAAAATCATTAAAAACTGAAAGAACTGAAATACTCTTGAGGTAATCAAGACTTCTAGGAAAGAAGATCTACTTGTCCAAAAAAAGGAGACTTGCAGAACCATGACTATCTCCTACCCTTTTCACCTATCAAGGTAAGATTTCAGTGCGTATATAAAAGAATTGAGTGTGGCATCAAAATACTGATGTACTGACCACCTTTCCTCCCACATAATAACAGTGTAGCCTTTCTTTCTTACAGAAGTATAAGAATTGCATACGTTATATCTGCCTCTAGAGACATTCTTACTGTGTATATTTCTTAAAATTTTTGTGATTATACTTTATAATCGTTGCAAATGTTCTATACTTGAGTAAAATATGCTGAGGTATGAAAAACATTGCAATCTGTGTCTTGGTGTTTTGTCAGATGGGATGTTAATGGGTTATTCTGGAAGTGGTACTGCTCATTGGGGGAATACATTCTGCAATTATCAATTACCAATATTTTATACATGATATGTACACTGATTTTCCAGTACAAATATTTGCATAACTCCTTTTCTAAATATTAACCACTCTGTATCTTGCTCTATGAGATTTTGTACTCATTTCTATGACTTTATTTTATTATTATTATTATAAAAGCTACACATCTCTACGGGCTTACATTGTGCCTCATTCTCTGAGCCTTGTTTTAGGTATGTATTAGCAGTCTCATCAGGCAGCCACATGCTCCCTACAAAGGAGTGTGGCATGCAACACAACAGTACAATAATCATGCTTTTTTGGACTTCTTCACAAATGCCACCAGGTTCTATTGTTTTATTGTGTAAATATTGGCATTCCACTAGGTTTCTGTGATATTTCTTGATATTTCCTGATATTTCTTCTCTGCCTTTTCCCTTTATAATTTGAAGAATTATATTCCACCTCTAGGTATGTAGACATACCTAGCCAAGGTATCTATGGCATCCAGAATAGAGTTAGAAATTTTTAAAAGATGAAGATGAAAGAAAATCACAAATGATGAAATATGCACCAAGGAAGTCTTGTCACTTGATTCTGTTTCACCTCTCACAATTTACACTGTGGCCCTCATTCTGTTAATTATCTGAGATATTATTATTCTATATGATATGTATCTTATGCATTGTATCTTATGCATTGATATTTAAGGCAGTGTTTAGAATCCCTTCTGAACAAGGAAGGCAAAAAGCCTTATCCACTTGTATTCCCCATCTTACAGTAGTGTCTGTGCTAGTATTAAGTGGATGCTTTGCCTATCTGAGACCTGCCTCTAACACTCCATCTTACATTGATTTTGGGTTGACTGTTCTGTATGCCCTCCTNCAAAGACTCACATATAAACACCCGTGAAAACCTCAGAAAACAAATATATATATATATATATATATATATATATATATATATATATATATATATATATATATATATATATATATATATATATATATATATATATATATATATATATATATATATATATATATATATATATATATATATATATATATATATATATATATATTAGTCTTTAAAGTTTGTTCTATTATTTTGTTTGCCTTTCTTCCCAAACAAGTAAAAGCTGCCTTTCCAAGCCAGGGAAATAATTCCAATAGGGCTCTTACAGGCAAAAAGAAGCAAGAAGGCATAAAGAGAGGAAGAAAAAAAAAGATCTCACCCGGATTCACCACAGTGGGTTTTCAAGCTTATCTGTTGTTTGACTTGCGGTTTCTAGCGGCTGAGTGATCGGCTATTTTACCAGCCGATCTTCTTCTCCGTCGGCCCTCAGAGTTAATCCAGATAGCTGGAGGAGCCACCACTTCTCCACAGCTGAGAGAAGCCTCTTTGATAGAAGTCGCACCCTCCAGGGCATCTTTAGACCCGCATAAGGGTCTACCAGCGGAGGGAAGCTAGCCGACGAGAAGACGAGTCTCTTCGTTCGACTAGGAGCACCGCAACCCTGAACCAGAAGTCTGGACTTCCACTTTTATAGTCATAAAAGACTGATTATATTTTCATTTCCCTCCATTTTATACAGGAGAGAGTTAGCTTGGAAATAATTTGATTTTTTTTTAACGCTTTCCTCATTTCCTTGTTGCCAAAAAAGATCATTTGTTGCTCCATAGAATTTCAACTGATTTCAGGGATGTTGTGTTTAAACATGATTTTTAAAATTTGAGCAAGATAAATGTTCAATCCAAAATAGCAACAAGGAAGAAATAAGGTTGACCACAATAAGTACTGGTAGAGCTGAAAACAAATATTGAGCTAATCAATATTTCTAGGAAAGAAGATCTAATTGTCTAACAAAAGGAGACTTGCAGTGCCATGAAAAGCTACCTTCTACCCTTTTCATATATCAATGTAAGATTGTAGTTCATTCTTTTTTCTCATTTTCTAGATATGTACTTTATTCTTTCAACCCAGCCAAAGTGACTGAATTGTCAGATACAGAGAAGGGGTTGATCATCCTACCAATCTTCTCTAGAGATATTCTTACTATGTATGTTTCCTAAAGGTTTTGTGAGTATGCTTTATAATTGTTGCTAAAATTCTTTATTTGAATAAAAGATTCAGAAGTATGAAAAATGCTGAAATCTGTTTCTTGGTGTTTTGCCAGATGAGCTGTGAATGGGTTTTTCTGGGGAAGTGGTACAGGCCATGGAGAAGGGAGGATAAATTCTGCAGTATCTATTATCAATAATTTATTGCATATATGTATATATTTATATGAGGGTATATACATTGATTGTCTAATACAAATATCTGTTTCAGTCCTGTTCTAAATATTAACCACTATATATCTTGTTCTGTAAGATTTGTACTGATTTCTATGGATTTATTTTATTATAAGTTTTATAAACCTCTATGGGCTTACATTATGGCTCAGTCTATGAGTCTTGTATTAAGTGTGTATTTCCAATCTTATCATGGAACCATATACACCCTACAAAGGTGTGTGTCTTGAAATTCAACAATATAATAATTATACATTTTGAACTCCCACACTAATGCCATTGGTTTTTATGGTTTTATTGTGTAACTCAGGGTGTCAAACTGCCGGCCCGTGGGCCGGTTTCATCATACTGAAGCTGCGCCCACCCCATTGCCAGCAATGAAAAAAGAATCGCGATACATCGTGACACATCACGTGACATGGCGAGTTTGACACCCGTGTTGTAACTATTGTCATTCCACTAGGTTTCTATGGGTTTCCTGATCTTTCTTTTCTGCCTTTTCTCTTTGTAATTTGTGTTATTATTTTTCACCTCTGCATTAATGATGTGGGCATACCTAGCCAAGGTCAAGCTCTTTCCCTACCTGTGGCATGCAGAAGAGAGGTTGGGATTGTTTTAAAGCTGGGGATGAAAGAAAATCAGTAANTTATACATTCTTTGGGGCTTTGTGATTCAGATGCCTGTTTCTGTGTAAGAATGTGTCCTTTAATATTTTAACGGCTCTTGCCAGATTCTTATGTTGTGGTTATGTTGTGGTCATGGCTGGCTCTATAGGTAGGAGGGGAAATGCAAATCCTAGGTTTCCTGAGCTAAACCTGTCAGTTTGGCCTTGCCTATTGTGTTGCGTATTTAGGGTTTCTAGTTGTTCTTTGTTTATGAATAGTATGGCACAATCTTTATGAATGGATTACAAAATCTCCATTCCTAAAGACTAGCTTCAGTTTTCTGCTTGAGGCAGGAAGACTGGGGGTGCTTTCTGCCTTTAAGAAGATGTTTCTCCTCTTCTCTTTTAAGGGAAATATAATATTCTGCTTGTTTTAATATTCCCAAAAATATTTCATACTCTGTGGGGGAGGGCTTCCCAAAACGGAATGTGCTTCCGGGAGGTCTTATCACTTGATTCATGTTTTACCTCTCACAATTCACACTGCTGCGCCCCCCATCCTGTTAACAATCTGAAATATTATTCTAGGGAATATGATAACTGGTCCTGGAGGTATCTATTGTGTTCTTAATGGCCAATTTTGTTAATAAGCACACAGAAGTCAGTTTTATTTATGTTTGCTAACTATGTTAATATATTAATAATCACAAATAAGTCTGTTCATTTGGTGTACAAGTCGGTTGAGAGAAACAAAACAAAGATTAATAAATATTTAGAATAGAAATCTCTAGGGCTGCAGATCGATATTTCACTTCATTATAATTAGTGGAACAGCACTGACTTAGTGGTAAGATATTTAATACTCTTTAAATCATAGAAGGAATAATATATAAAGACAAATATGAGGTATCAATTAAAATTTTAAGAGAAAAGTTATTTTCCTATTTTATGGAGCAAACTGGTATTTACTTCAATATGTATTGTATCAGGATTGGCTTTATAATATAATTTTTTACAGAAGAGAATTTAAATGAATAATTTCATAAGTTAGCTTTCTGATATAATGGAATGAGAAGTTAGACTGTTTTGGGGATGATAACAAATGGTTTTAATATAATTTTTAAGAAATTACACCCCAGACAATAGATTTAAAGACATTGTGAAACAGAAGACAATTTGTAGAGCTTTTTATGTAGATAGTAAACAATGAATTAATTACATATGTTGTTACCTTTTCCACAAGATATTTATAAAGAATAATTAGCAGAAATTTGGACCAAACTTTCATCAATGAACTGATAACTATTAGGTAAATTTGCATCAGCTAGTAATTTTATAATCTTTCTCAATATGAATAAAATAAATGGATGGTAAGATTTCTTAGTGACTTTTTATTTCTCTGTTTTTACACATTTAAGTACTATTGTTGAAAAGGTGCTTACTTTGCATTCCACATTGTTGATAAAAATGTCAAAGTTGATAGCTATAATAGGTTGTGTCTCATTTGGTGTCCAAACTTTACTATAGACAATATTGGCTTTTATTGGATGGGTGGCTGCTTTTTCAAACTGAGTTTTCATTTCCTTCTGATTGTTGAATTGGGGGATTTATTAATTTATTCTGGTGATATTTGATTCCTTTTGATTAAATATATTTAACAGTGGTATAATTATGTATCACCAGCTTAATATCAAAATAGCAGTTATGTTCTATTCTGTCATTTTCTATTTAACAATAAGCCATTAAATAAGGTTTAATAATCTTGTATTTATGTATTAGTTTAAAGGTTTTTTATGCTATTATTTTAGCCTAATATCTATTAGGGAAATTGCCACCATTGCCATCACTTACATAAATACACACATCCAAAGATAAATTATACATATAGGAGATGTCTGTTCTCAAGATTTCCAAGTAAAAGATATAGCAAATTATTTTTATATTTTATTTTTATATTGCTTTTCTTCTAGAAGCACAAAGCACCAGACATTGGAATTCTCCAATTTTCCAACACTGCCACAATCCTGTAGGAGTGCAGATAAATTATGATGGGTCCAATTATTCAAGTAATCTTTCATTCGTGAAAATAGACCTGAACCAACTTTATTCTACTCCTAGCCAATGCTTTTGATCACTATACAAAAAATGTGAGGTTGGCAGTTGGTCCTTTATTACAGATGAGTAAAAATGGAAAAGAATGTGCTCTAATATCCCCATCCTACAGCTGTTTTCCATACTCTGACTCTCTGTTCATTCTGTCCATCCTTGACATTTCTTGATATTTTCTATTCTCATCACATATCAAAATGCCAACTCCAAAATTTTATCTGATTTTCCCTCCTTTCTTTCCTTCCAGTTATGCCACCTTTGTCATAAAGAAAACATGGAGAATCAAACAACAGTGCCTTACTTTCTGCTGCTGGAATTCTCAAAAAATCAGAATCTGCAGCTTTTGCATTTCTTCTTCTTCTTTGTGTTATATCTTGCAACTGTAACAACAAATCTTCTCATCATCTCTGCAGTTGCTTTTGACCATCAACTGCATAGCCCCATGTACTTCTTTCTCATGAATTTAGCTCTGCAGGACGTGGGCATTGTTTCAGTCATTGTCCCCAAATCAATGATAAATTATCTCATGGACACCAGACACATTTCTTACTTTGGTTGTGTTGCTCAAATCTTGCTCTTTCTCTCCTTTGAAACTTCTGACTTTTTCCTCCTGACAGTCATGGCATATGATCGGTATGTAGCCATTTGCCACCCACTGCACTATGAGATGGTGATGAATTGGAAAGCCTGCACTGCTATCATAATTCTAGTGTGGGTTACAGGTCTCCTCTATGGAATGTTGCATACCACTGGCACTTTTTCTGTCCTGTTTTGTTCTAATGTTGTTAATCAGTTTTTTTGTGAAATTCCACAATTGATAAAATTATCCTGCTCTGGATTAAATCTATTTGAGATTGGAATTCTTGTGTTTGGTATCATTACCGTACTAGGTTGTTTTACTTTTATAATTGTATCTGACACAGTGATTTTCAAGGCAGTGTTAAGAATCCCTTTTGAAAAAGGAAGGCAAAAAGCCTTATCCACCTGTATTCCCCACCTCACAGTAGTATCTATGCTAATATTAAGTGCATGCTTTGCCTATCTGAGACCTGCCTCTAACACTCCGTCTTACTTAGATTTTGGTTTGACTGTTTTGTATTCCCTCCTTCCGCCCCTGTTCAATCCAATCATCTATAGCATGAGAAATAAGAATATCAAATGTGTCCTTTCTCAAATGTGGAGGTTTTGATAAATTATTTTAATGTTATTTATATTCTCTTCCCCATAGTTTTTCCCTCTGTCTTTTCTTTTACTTTTGTGAATAAAAGAATGTGTTAGAAAGGGATGGGTGTGGGGGAATGCAGCAAATCCAGTCTCTCAAACCAGAAGAATCTAGCAGTCCATATTTTTTGGCCTACATCCCTGATAACTGTCAACAGATGTTAAATATGGATATTTGGTAGCTCTGGCATTTCACAGGCTGACAATTCCTGTTGTTCAGTGAAGTCAGCGGTTGGATTCAAATATGTGAACAACCGGTTCTCTTTGTGGATGACGCTTCCATAAGTACATTCTGAGCCTGGGCAACAAAAAACTAGCTACTGGTTCTGTCAAAGTGGTGCAAATTGGCTGAATCCCACCACTGAGTGAAGTGAAGTAAGAGTGTAATACAATTGGTGGTGTGAGAAGTTTTATATCAAAATATATTTTATTCTTTAGGCTGTTTGTTTGATCTCTGGGCTTGGTAATTAGGCTGCAAACATTTTGTCTCTGTTCAGCGGGACATATTCAGTGCAGTTTGAATTGTGTTTGGCTTGTTTGGAATGTTGCTTCCAGTATTTCAGTTGAAGCAGTTCTCTTGCTCTCAGTGGTTGTTAGGCTGGGTCAATGTGTCTGTTCACTAATTGGTTGGTGGAGAACCAGGTCTCGAGGAATTCTCTTTCTTTCTTTGACTTTACCTGGGCTATAAGTGTGGTCCAAGTTAGATCAAACTTATGTCTTTCTGAGTCCTCATGGACAGATATGAGGGACAATGGGTCATGTCTTCTGATCGCCAGGGAGTGCTCGCATAGTGTAGTCGATAGCTTTTTTCTTGTTTGGCCTATATAGTCCTTGTCATAGTTGTTGTACCAGACTTGGTTTATGATGCCTGATCTTTTATTTGTTTCTGTTAGCTCTTTAGGTCTTGATAGGGTCCATATTAGAGTTGAGGCTTGTTGGTGGGCTACTGTGAGGTTGTGCTAGTGTAGTAGCCTTGCTGTCATTTCTGAAATGTTCTGTATGTAAGGAATTGTGATTTGTTTGGTTGTTGCTGTTCCTGTTGTAGTTCTTGTGTTGTTTTGGGTGTTTTTGTTGTTTGTGTATAAGGATCTTGAGATGACGTTTTGTGAGTATTCATTTCTCTCAAAGACTCTGTATAAATGTCCCAGTTCTGCTGATCTGGCTTCTGTGGTATTGCAATGGGATTCTGCTCTTCTTAAAAGTGTTTTGACACAACTTTGTTTATGGCATTTGGGGTGGTTGCTGTGGAAGTTGAGGATTTGATCTCTGTGTGTTGTCTTTCTGTACATGGATGTTAGAAGTTGGCCATTGGAGGTTCTGGTTACAAGAAAGTCCAGGAAGGGCAGTTCATTGTTGTTCTTGGTTTCCATTGTGAACCGGATATCTGTAAACATGTTGTTGATTTTTTGGTAGGTTTGGCTGATTTGATTGTGCTTGATTATCACAAAGGTATCATCCACATAACGTTTAGAATTTATTTGTGGGAGGATGATCGCTTTGATTTTTTGCATTATAATTTCTACGACCAGGCCAGATATGGGGGATCCCATAGGTCAGACATGTCAAACTCACGACATACGTGATGTCGTGTGACATATTGGAGCTTTTTCCCCATTGCTGGCAATGGGGTGGATTCGGTTTCTTCATGACACATCCGGCCCGCGGGCAGGCAGTTTGACACCGCTTCCATAGGTGATCCTTTTAGTTGTTCATAAAACTCACCCTCAAATTTGAAGTAGGTGAAATAGGTGAGGTTGGAGGAGTTCGCATGTGTTGTCTGTTGTAAGTGGTTCTTTTGGTGGATGTGTCCTGTCTAGAAGTTCTCTGATCAGGTCCACTGCTTGTTTCAGGTCTATTGATGTGAACAGCACAGTAACATCAAATGATATCATATCATCAAATGATATCATATCATCCTCGTCAATGTAAAGGGGTTTGAGTTTGTCCAAGAATTGAGTGGTGGTGTTTATGAAGTATTGGGAATCACTGATGAGGTGTTTCAGGCATTTCCACATTTCTTTCATGAGGTTATAAGTGGGTGGGTCAGGGAGTGAGATGATTGGTCTGAATGGGGTGTTTTATTTGTGCATTTTCGGGAGACCATTGAACTACGCTATGTTTGAATTGGTTGCTTTCATTCTCTCGTATTCCTCCTTGGCAACTCAGTTTAGTTTCTGTAGCTTTTTAAAGGTTCTATTGATTTTGTTGGTCAGTTTTGTCATTGGGTCTGTGTTGGTTCATCTGTAGGAATTAAAAAGCTGCAAAAAGTAAACTGAAATATAAATTATAAATATATATAAATATAAAACAGAAAGCAAGAGAGAGAGAGAGAGAGAGAGAGAGAGAGAGAGAGAGAGAGAGAGAGAGAGAGAGAGAGAAGAAGAAGAAGAAGAAGAAGAAGAAGAAGAAGAAGAAGAAGAAGAAGAAGAAGAAGAAGAAGAAGAAGAAGAAGAAGAAGAAGAAAAGAGAGAAATAAGATATGTCATTAAATATTAAATTATATCTTCCCAAACTGCATTTATTTTGATCTCCCACTTCTGCTACTTATTGGTGTAACATTTATTTTTATTATAAATGAAACATGGAAATATGAACCCAGAGATTTATTTTCTGCTCACTGGATTCTCAAAAGCTCAACGGCTATAGATTTTGCATTATATCTGGCAATTGCAACAGGAAATCTTCTCATATCTTCAATAACTTTGGATGATTAATTAACCCCATGAATTTCTTTCTAATAAATTTGGCTGTATGCAACCTAAGTTTTGCTTCAAGAATTTCTCAAGGCTATAGCAATTTTTTTCATGGGCATGTGACACCTTTCTTACATTGGTTCTTACAACTCATTTTAAATCTCCTTTATAACTCCTGGTTTCTTCCTCCTCTTTTGCCAGATGTCAGGGCAGTGATAAGGTGCACAGGAAATGGATTCTTCTGGATCCATAGACAATAAGTGCACAGTGAATAAAGAGATGTTAAGCTCTAATATTAATCCAAGCAAACTGATCTTAAAATATAAGATAAAAAGCATAAACACCAAACAAGATAATACCCAAATCTCTTGTAAGCTCATAGGTGCTACTTAATAACAACAGAGATACCCCAAGTGTGACCATTTTCTGCATTACCCAATATAGGTAATCTTCAATACACGACCTCAAAATTTATGTTGCTAAGTGAAAAATTTGTTGAATTTTGCCCCATTTTATGACTTTTCTTGCCACATTTGTAAAGTGATTCATTGCAGTTCTTAAATTAACAAGTAACATAGTTGTTAAGTGAATCTGGTTTTCCCATTGACTTTTCTTGTCAGAAGGTTGTAAAAGCTGATCACATGATCCAGAAATCATACCTTCCATTTTACAATTGCATGATAAAAAGTATAAAAGAACATTTTGATTGGGTAAGAAAAAGTCATCTGTATTCAGATATTTCTGAACAAAAATAAAAGAAACATTTGCTAAGGAAAAACATGAGAATGGATATAATAAAGGTACAGCAACTTTCCCCAAGGCTGGGTTTGTGGAAAAAGAAACTGTTTTATCTACTCTGTATCGAGTACTTCTCTGCCAGGTTTCCAAAGGGAGGCTTTCTATTTTTTTCCAGAAGGTTAAAACTTATGACAAATTAAAGAAGGCAAAATTAAAATACAAAAAAACCATGTTAGTTAGCCAATTCAACAGTACTACAAAATCCATATTGCAAGTATTACAAACTCCATCCTTCATGGCCCTCTGTTCCCTCTGTGCACTTGGCTGAGAATAGATAAGGTCCAACAGCATTAGGGGAAAGGGGAAAGTCAGACTTTGGGATTCCAGACTAATTCCCCATTTGACTCCTCCCCCTGGCTCAGCCACTCTCCCTCCTACATTAGCAGAGCTTATATACCCTGTACTTCCTAATACAAGCACTTCCTTCCCACTGGGAGGTTCAGTTTTTCTTCATTTTCTAGCTATTTTTCCACTTGTCCCAGTGAAAGTTGCAGAATTGTCAGATACAAAGAAAGAGTCAGCCATCCTACGGTCTGCCTCTAGGATCTACTTATTCATGTATCTTATTCTATATGTTCCTTACATCTTTTATGATTACTTTGTGCTTTACTTTACTTGGTTTTGTTTTGTTTTTACTTGAGTAAAAAATAGTGAAATATGAAAAGGCTGAAATCTGTTTCTGGGTGCTTTGCCATAGGTGCTGTAATGGATTCTTCTGGGGAAATGGTAGCAATGACTATGCCGAAAGAAATTCTATCATTACCTTATTGCAGGCAACAATTCATTGAAGAAATAAAAAAAATATTAACCAACAAAACTGAGGATATGTACATTGATTTTCTAAAACATGTATCTATATAAACTTTCTAAATCATATTTCCTGTGTGAGTTTTCTTACTGATTTCTTTAGATTTACATATTACTTATTCTACCAAAGGTATTTTATAGGTTTCCATGGACTTACAGCTCATTTTATGAGCCTTGTTTTAGGTTTGTATTTGCAGTCTACTCAGGCAGTGAAATCCACCCTATAAAGCAGGGGTGTTAAACTCGCAATGTCACGTGATGTGTCAGGAAGTATTGCAACTTTTTGTCCATTGCCGGCAATGGGGTGAGTGCAGTTTCATCATGACGCATCCGGCCCAAGCACCGGCAGTTTAACACTCCTGCTATAAAGGGATATGGCTTGAATTACAACAATGAACTATAACTTGCTTGTTTGCAACCTCACAATATGCTTGAATTTTACAGCCCTATGTTAATGATCTGGGCTTAATTAACCCAAGTCTCAGCTGCTCCCCTTGCTATGGTAGGCAGAATAGAGGTTGGGATTTCTTAAAAGCCAAAGGTAAAAAAGAATCCCAAGTGATAAAACTTTTTTCAGGGAGGTCTCCTCATCTGATTCATGTTTCTCCTCTCACAATTTGGATTGCTGGAATCATTGCTGTCCCACTTCTGTTAACATCATTTTGAGATA